TCAGACTGAATCACGCCTCTGCTCCAACTCTGCCAATGGCTCCCCGAACCACTGAAGGGAAAGACAAAGTCTTATCATGGCCTGACAAATACGGTCCCTATAACCTGACCTTTGTAGCCCCTATGACCTGACCTCAGCAGCCCCCAGCATGCCCCTGGGCTCCCTCTGCTCTGATCCAACCTCTGTTCATTCCTGAAACAGGGCACTCCGCTCCACAAAGTTCATCCTTGCCACTCTTTACGCCGAGGGTGCTTTACACTCTTCCCCCAGATAAAGGCAGAGCGCCAATCACCACTAACATGTTATATATTTTACTTATTTGTTAGCTGTCAATCTCCCTCTACTCAAGTATAAACTCACAGGGGGAAGGATTGAGTTTAGCTTTGTAGTGAAGTCTCATAATTTTCTGTTGCCTCACATCCATTTAGAACACAAGTTTTAATTTCGTATATCAACATAGGGCTCAATCACCTTTGGCGGGGTTTCCAGTTCCACATCACACCCAGGTGGCACAAGCTGGTGGCTGGAGATCAGAACGTAGACTGGACTCCTTGCTTTTCCCACTTTCTTTAAATAAAACATTCAGGCATTTGCCCTTGAACCCACAGTGACCCAAACCCTATTCTCTTACATCTACTGCTAGTTGTCTCTCTGCGCCCGACTCTTCAATCCTGCCTCGTGTGACCAGGGATGGAAGAATGCCTTCCTGATCCACTGTGCCCTCCCTGCCCAGCATTTCAAAGTAAAAAACCGGCCAGGCACGGTGGCTCACGCCTGTAATCCCAACACTTTGGGAGGTCGAGGCAGGTAGATCACTTGAGGTAAGAACTTCAAGACCAGCGTGGCCAACATGGTGAAACCATGTCTTTACTAAAAATACAAAATTAGCCAGGTGTGGTGGCGTGTGCCTATAATCCCAGTTACTTGGGAGGCTGAGGCTGAAGAATCACTTGAACCCAGGAGGTGGAGGTTGCAGTGAGCCGAGACTGCACCACTGCACTCCAGCCTGGGCGACAGAGCAAGACTCACACATTAAAAAAAAAAAAAAAAAAAGTAAAAAAAAAAAAAATCTTTGAACTCGTCTCCATTATAATGGTGTACTGAATTTGCGCCTTCCATTGAAGAACCAGGGGTTGCCCCAGGCGGGTTTTCCCTGGTATGCCAGGGAGAGCACAAAGTCAGGCTCCCAGTGGCAGAGCAGTGGTCAGACAGGTGTAAACTGAACACAGGTCAGACAAGGGCTGCAAAAATGCCTGCCTATATAAACAAGTTTCCCATGTGAGGTATACCAGAAGCATCTCATGAGAAGCACACTACCCATGTCCAACTCCCCTGATTTTCTGTTAGGACAGGGCTGCTGGCCACTCTGGTACTGGTACCTTGGTGTAGCTAGGGGCTCTCCAAACAGTTTTATTCCTGCAATAGCCCCAACAGTTAGTTCTAAGGCTACCTGGCACCTAGAAAGAGCTCAGTAAATATTGACTCCGGGTGACAAATGTGTGACTCCTGATCCTGGCCTTTATTGGTATGTCTGATTCTTTCTGCTAAGAATTGGTGGTTCTGGAAATCTTCCAACTATTGCTGCCAGCTGGGTAAAGGTGCAAACCACTGACACAGGAGGGTACTATCTGCTACTTAGCTGAAGTTGAGGGAAGACTGGATATCTCTAAGAGGCTTCTTAGGCTAGAGGCCGAAATGGGTCTAATTCCTTAAAAAGGCTTTTTCGTCATTGTCTCAGTAATGAATTTAGAAACAAGGGCTTTCACAATGCCACAAAGGAATCAAGTCTGTGTGCAATCTGAACAAGAGCCACTAGACCCAGACAACCAGAGAAAAACTGGCAGGGGAAGGTTGCTCATGCCTGTAATCCCAGCACTTTGGGAGGCTGAGGCAGGTGGATCACCTGAGGTCACGAGTTTGAGACCAGCCTTATCGACATGGAGAAACCCCATCTCTACTAAAAAACACAAAAAATTAGCTGGGCATGGTGGTGCATGCCTGTAATCCCAGGTACTCAGGAGGCTGAGGCAGGAGCATTGCCTGAACTTGGGAGGCCAAAGTTGCAGTGAGCCGAGATGGCGCCATTGTACTCCAGCCTGGCCAGCAAGAGCAAAACTTTGTCTCAAAAAAAAAAAAAAAAAAAAGAGAGAGAAATTAGCAAGGCCAAATTGTATCAACACCACTCTAACTGTATACAGTGAAAGATGTCAAAGACAATTGCCTTTATGAGAGAAAGACACCTTCTCTCGGATCAGAACATTCTACATTTATGGGCCTGTCCTAACAGGCTTTCTTCCTATTCCACGGCCTGGCTTCTAATAGTTCAGTTTAGGAAAAAAAAAATCACACACATACGCAAGTGATACAAAATAGTGACATATGGAGAGAGATGAGCTTCCTTACTTTCTTCTAATCTCTGTTATTTTCCCAGAAAAATTAGGGTGGACATGGAAAAACCTCTGATGTTTTGTATTCCATTGTTGGTGATAGATAAAAACGCAATGCACCCACTCTGCCTTGTTTCTGAGTTCCTTGAAGGCAGGTGATGTGTTCTCGACAGCTTTAGGTAACAACAGCATCTAATGTATTCCTGCTCACAGTGGGGGTCTAACAAATGCCAGAAATAAACCAATAAAAGAATGAACAAATAAAATACAGCCCATTAACTCAGCTCCTTACATTCAATTTTCCTTGTCCCTGTCCTGACCTTGGCCCATATACCCTGTTCAGCCCCAGGAACTGCCTCGAATCTGAGAGTTCTCCAAGTCAAGTCCTTAGGCCAGCTATTGGAGCAGCAAGAGCTCCAGTGCCTTCCCAGATGATATCAGCGTATTTAAAATAACCACGATTATTCATGTTGTTGTTACTGGCTACAGAGCCCCACTAGCACTATAGCCACTGCAAGCTGCAAGAGAATAAACGTGATTTCCTAGCTACAGCTCTACAATTTCTCATGACCTGTTCTGGCAACTTCGGTGGTTATACTTATCCAATGGAGACTTATAGCTCTCAATATATGATGTGGCTTGAGCTTCTTTGGAAAAAGTCTCTGAGATAGAAGTCAGCATGCAAGAGGTTTATTAGGGAGAGCTCTTGAGAGCAGCACCTATGAAAGGGAAGAGCAGTAAGCAGGCCTGGGCAGAGGGGGAAATCAGCCTGTGAGGCAGTCTCCCAGTGCTGCAGATGATCCTGCAGGATGCCATGTTCATCAGCCATTTAATGATGGGGGGTGAGAGGGGCTGGAAGGGGTGTGGCCACAGGCATGGCCACTCCCTTCAACTGAGGCAACTGCAGAAAGGGCTGATGCCTGACAGCCCCCTCTGCAGGTGCCACTCCCAGCGGCTGGGGTAATAAGGCCTTCATTCCCAAAGGCGAATGTGGGAGTCTAGTGCATACGACCATCATTCTCACCCTTCTCACCCGATGAGACAGCACAATTACCAGCTCCTCTGCGACACCTTCCCAGCTGCCTTCTCTAAGCCCTCTAAGAGAGGTGACAACTCTCACTGTCCCCTCATTACTCATCCCTTTATTTGCAGAGCCAGTTGTACGGCCCGACACCCAGTAGGGATGCAATAAACACCTGCTGAAGAAATGCACCACTGAACATTCAACATCAGCATAAAAATATGAAAAAAAAACACCATGTAATTATAGAAGAACTACCCCCTCACGTGTTCACTGTGATCGGGAAGAGGAAAACAAGCAGACATGATACGGGAACTTGAAAAGAGCAGCGGACAGAAGTCAAGACACAGGCACTCTGATCTCAACTCTGGGAGAAGCCTGCATCCCTCTAAGCTTCTGTTTCTTTATGAAACAAAAGGACACGTCCACACATTCGATGAAGATTAAAGAGCTTTGACATACTCAGTTGTACTAAATGATATCTTTATTATGGTCATTATTGACATGAATAAGAAAAGTCAATTTTGATCCCAATAAGGCAGAGAGTCCCGGGGATCAGAGGGTCATTTCCATGATTTGCTGAAGACTTTCTTCAATTAGCCCAGAGCTCAGAAGCCCTGAGATGGAAGCAGAGAGTGACCGGGGCAGGCAAGGAAATTCACCCTCTGCTCATGAATAGAAATAGAAACCAACAGGAATATCCTGTGACTTATGAAAATGCTGTGACTTAAAATCATTAAGCAGTATTTCACTTACACAGGCTATGGAGCTAAGAGGAAAGGCAGAAGGGATTTTAAACACAGAAAAGGCCAGTGTGCAATTAAAACAAGAAAAAAAAACAAGAAGTAAAAATTTCGCTATTGAATTTCATTATTATTGTACTCATCCAGCATAGAAGAATTTTTAAAATAATGTAATTTTTAAAAAGACATCTGGGAGAGGAGTATTAAAATAACAGCCTAAGATCTGTACTAACCTGTCACTTCTCTCACACATCCATGCCGCAGTTAGTATACCTACTGAGCTCACAGTTTCCCACTAGGTACTCTCATGTATCTTGAGGCCGTGATAAGAGTTACAATAACAGCTATAAAGAAACCCACCAGACTAGAAAGAATGTCTTGTAAAGCCAAACACATACATCTCCTTAAAACGATAAACCACAACGTTAATGAAAGCGAAAGCCGTAAAGAACATTTTTTTAAATCTCTAGAATCAATACTCATCTCTACTACCTCACAGGCTTTCTTGGCAATTAGATCATCTTTTGATAAAAAGAAAACCAACAAACACACCTCCTGACACAAGTATGTGAACACTCTGCTATCTGCATACGAAGTACACACATTTGATATTTCTCTGCTAAAAACACCTTCTCATTTACTAAACAAATGTAAACAAATTTCTATTTTACTCTAATATTTTTCAAATCCAAGCAGAGTTGATATTCCACCAGATCTGTAATTCCTTACCCACTGTGTTAGCACGACCTCATTTGAGGTGACCTCATCTTTTTTAAAGAATGAACCACTATTCTTTGGCATGCTGATACCTACAAAAATATAGGGAAAAAACAAATGGGCTACCATTACCTTTGAACTTGTGGAACACAGCCCACAGCTCTGCAATGTCGGTGGCAAAGGTGATATCCGTGTCAAGTACGATGACTCTCTCCAGATTGGCAGGAAGAGTCTTGGTCAGGACAAGCTTCATCAGACCGTAAATCCCAGAGTAATGTTTATTGGGGATCCAGGAAACTTCAGACTAGACAGAAGAGGGCAGAGAGGGAGTTGGAGAAAGAAAAATCACTATGTTAATTCTTTGCCTAAACATAATAGTGCCTAGCACGCAAAGGGTATTGTATAAAAATTTGCTGAATAAATGAACGAGTGTTTTGTTTTAAGATGTACGTAATTTGCGTTTTGACATGTGAAGCTTTTTGGAGGAAAATGTATCTGAATTAAGGGAGAGGAAAAGTAATAGTTATGAAACATTACTGCAAACACTGTATGTTGAGAGTTTAAAAAAAAACTTTCGTTATTACAGAAATTTAATAGGTCCATTGGAGATAAAGGATATGCGACAACATTAGAGTCAAAAAACTGAATCCCACTACATATACTTTTGTAACCAGCATCTAATTGTTCCTATGTATGTGTATTTCTTTAAATCATATTCCATTTATGTGTCATTTGAGATTAGTAAGCAATGGTATTGTTAAAGTGTACGCTTATTTATTCTTTCAAGTCTGTAACTGAACAGTTGAGTACTGCTGCCTTTTCTTTATTCTCAGATAAACCCACAAGGAGGACCTACTCACAATCAACCCAACACTCTTTACCTGACAGCAACAGAGGACACACATATAGCACAGAAATGAACCACCCATGGAACACTGAAATGGTGACCCTCACATAATATAATGGAACAATCAATGGCTTGCAAATGCACAGTCATCAGCGAGGCACACACATCGGTGCCATTTTGTGTCCAAAGGCAAGGATAAAAATAAAAGCACCAGTGTCATGAAAGCTCTCACATATGCACAGTCATTTATGAAGATATCATGAGCAGAGGCCCCAACCCAACTGCTGTCAGGAGTTTCCCTGTGAGTCAAAGCACATGTCTGATTTTCAAGAGAGTAACACTTCTAATAGAACCCTTTAAATGGGGAATATGGCCACCTTACCAAAATTCCAAAAAATATTCATCTCCTTTGTTCTTAAAATACCACGTTGAGGGTATGTTCTTAAAAAAAAAATGTGTATTTAAACACAAAAACACCATAGTTTTATTCCCAAAGATGTTTATCACCATGTTACCAAAGAGTAGCCATCACAAAGCCCCAAAATGGAACAATTAATTCAAACATGATACTCTTTTTGTCTGACTGCATACTATGTAATTGTTTAAAACAATGTAGATTAAGATATAATTTCTAAAAACCTGCATATGATGTTGAAAGGGGAAAACAGGAAGCTTTAAGATTGCTTTTACTTAAAAACAACTATGTGTAATCAAACCACATGAAACACATGCACCCAAATTTATGCAGAGAAAGAAAAAACAGCAGCAAGACATCAAATGACTAATAGTAATTGTTTGTGGATGAGAATCTCTCTCTCCCTCCTCTTATATATTTACACACACACACATTTATTTATGTGTATATATATAAACATATATGTATACTTAACCGATCTATGCTTTCCAACTTTTAAAAATGAGCAACACCTAGTAAAGGAAAAACCAAGCAATTACATTTTTTTTTGTCAGACACATCATGATCTGGTGATGGTGGGAAACAGGGGTGCAGGAAGCTGATTTAGGAAAGCTGTGAGGCCCCGGATAACTCAGGTGACCCATTCCATCTCTGGAACCCACTCCATACAATGCTGTCATCTTCATAGTTTATTTGACAATTTTGTTTAGTTACTCTGTATTCTTAGTTTTGCAATGGTCCTTTGCTCAGATAAGCAGAATTATGACCAGAAAAAAAAAACAAAAAACAAAAAACAAAAAAACATACTGATGTACTGAAGTATTACACCATGCGTCAGTTTCAAGAAAAAGAATCCCTAACTCTATGTCTGAGTCCCTGTCACCTCGCACCCAGGCATCATGGAGGATGGGAAAAAGGAAAGGAGTTCAAATCTGGGCTCTAGCCCCACACAGAGCATTTGATCTCTCTAAGCCTCAGTTTCTTTACCTGTAAAATGGAGTGGGTTTCAGAGTTGGAATGAGTCCCCTGAGTTAGCACGGGGAAGCTGTCTCATAGCTTCCCTAAATCGGCTGCCTGTGTCCCTACGTTCCCACCATCACCAGATAGTGATGTTTGGAAAAGAAAAATGTGGTTGCTTAGTTCTTCTTTTCTCTTTATTGTTTTTAAGGTGGAGTCTCGCTCTGTCACCCAAGCTGGAGTGCAATGACACGATCTTGGCTCACTACAACCTCCGCCTCTCAGGTTCAAGCCAGTTTACTGCCTGAGCCTCCTGAGTAGCTGGGATTACAGGCATGCACCACCATGGTAGAGATGAAGTTTTACCATGTAGTCAAGACTTGTCTTGAACTCCTGACCTTGTGGTCCACCTGCCTCAGCCTCCCAATATGCTGGGATTACAGGCGTGAGCCACTGTGCCTGGCTAATTTTTCTTTTAGTAGCACTTGCTCTTGCTCTTTTGTGTGTGTGTGTGTGTGTGTGTGATGCAGTCTCACTCCGTCGCCCAGGCTAGAGTGCAGTGGGGCGATCTCAGCTCACTGCAACCTCTGCCTCCTGAGTTCAAGTGATTCTTCTGCCTCAGTCTCTAGAGTAGCTGGGACTATAGGCTCACACCACCACACCTGGCTAATTTTTATTATTTATTTATTTATTTTTGAGATGGAGTTTCGCTCTTGTTGCCCAGGCTGGAGTGCAATGGCACGATCTCGGCTCACCGCAACCTCCACCTCCTGGGTTCAGGCAATTCTTCTGCCTCAGCCTCCTGAGTAGCTGGGATTACAGGCACATGCCACCATGCCCAGCTAATTTTTTGTATTTTTAGTAGAGACGGGGTTTCACCATGTGGACCAGGATGGTCTCGATCTCTTCACCTTGTGATCCACCCACCTCGTCCTCCCAAAGTGCTGGGATTACAGGCTTGAGCCACCGCACCCGGCCTAATTTTTATATTTTTAATAGAGATGGGGTTTTACCATATTGGACAGGTGGGTCTCAAACTCCTGACCTCGTGATCTGCCCGTCTTGGCCTCAAGTGCTGGGATTACGGATGTGAGCCACCATGCCCGGCTACAGCTGCTCATTTTTAAAAGTTGGATAAATAGAGATGATGACTACTTCACACGGTGGTATAAAAATTAAAAGGTATTAAAGGACTCAAGGGCCTGGTACACAAAATATACACAGTAATAAACTCCCACCCTTCTTCCTGATCCCTCTACCTTATTCCAAGTATTAGGTATCGATGCCTCTTTCAGTGCTTCACGCTGAAGGTAAGGGTCTCTGTGATGGAGGAGGGCAAAAAACCCTGTGTTGTGTAGAGTCAGACAGGCCTAGATTTAGATTCTAGTGTCATCAGTGAACCACCATGTCACCTTGGACAGGTTTGCTCAGCTTTTCTGAGTTTCTGCCATTTAAAAGGTCATGACTTCTTTTAATTTGTTAACTTTAGATGCAGAGGGTACACACCTGTATTTGTTACATGAGGATACTGTGTAATGGGGGAGAATGGCCTTCTACCTTTCTTCCTTTCCTTCTCCCTTTTTTCTTCCTTTCTAGAAGGAAAACCCTTACACAACCAGCAGAATCATACTGTTCACACAAGGACAAATTAAATGCACCGGGTAAAATTTGATCAACAAGATCAAACCTGAATGTTGAACACTGTATCCAGTAGGTAATTTTTCACCCCCCACCCAGCTCTCGCCCTCCCTTCTTTTGGAGACCTCAGAGTCTACTATTTCCAACTTTGTATCCACCTGTGCTCACTGTGCTTCAACCTCTAGGTGAGAATATGTGATACTTGATGTTCTGCTTCTGAGTCAGTTCACTGAGGGTCACAGCCTCCAGCTCCATCCATGCTGCTACACTTACTTCACCCTACCAGGCAGGGTGTGGGTGGAAACGGCACGCTCTCCTGGGGAATCTAAGGAAGATTTAGTAAAAGGACTTTTAAATCTAAGTGTATGCAGAATGAGGGGCAGTAACAAGAAATGTGCAGTTACTCAAGGAGGAGAAGAGTACTCCGTGCTGTTACTACCCCAAGGCCAGAAGGGCCTAGGCTAGCAGATGCTGGAATTCAGAGATAATTGCTGTATGAGTAAGGCCACCTGGCTGAAGCAGTGACATTCAGCAGAGGGACACAGCCTACCTGTGGCAACTCATAAGCCAGGAACAGGAAAACACATCTCAATCCACTCTCCTCCTCCTGCCTACCAGTCTCCTGGGAGGGCAGCCCTCCAGTCCATCCGAACAGAAGCCAGAGCGAAAGTAACATTAGAGATGCTTATGTATCAGCCTCATGGAGCATAAAGTGAAGGTTAGGGCAAGAGAGGATCTAGACAGAAAAACCCCACAGAACCAGCAGAGGCACACTGCTCATGCAAGCACAAATTAAATAAACAACAAGATCGAAGCACAATGCCTTGTCTCTAATAGGTACAAAAATACATATCTGGAACAGATGGATGCATGGATGGATGGCAGGTAGGCACAGGAAGGCAGGTGATTTGTCTCCAATTCCACAGCAAGCAAGATGCAAAGCTCCAAGAGTCAGAATTTTCCAGGGGAAGGTTGTGTTCTTTCCCAAAACTACATTACTCTTCCTTTGGAGTGAGCTTCCCGATGTGACATTGCCGTAAGATCCGAGGACTCAATGAGGAATTCCCTCCTGTGTGCTTTATCAACATCTTCCTCATGAAAGTCCTGGCCTTTGGACCTCAGCTCAGTTTCCTCTCTCCTCTGTCTGCCTGAACTGAAGCTTGGCAATCATCAGTCGATGCTGCAAAGCTGTGCTATTTAATCAGATCTTTGATTAACTTATTCATCTATTTTGGTTACCATCAAAGCAGGAGAGCTGGGTGAAGACTGAACATCAGAGTTGATGTCTAATTAGATTGCCCTGACTCTCTGTTTTATTTTTATACGCATGTGAGGCACCCAGATACACTGCAAAACAGGAAGACTACCGGAATAAATTAATCTCAATGTGAGTCCAGTCCTGAATGTCGCTCCAAGTCCCCAACTTAATATATAATCAATTAAATCC